TGGATTAATTAGAAAGTAACTTGCTTTCATTTATATTTCTCTTTTGCAAGTTCCAAAAAATTAAATTTTACCAATTCAATATGGCCGACTCGTGAATAAGGCCTATACGCTGCAGTAAAACTGCCTACAAACTTACGGTTTGAATGAAAACACGTGAATCGTGATCCTGTATTAGATGCGGTAAGAACTGGGTCGAATGATAGGGGCGACGGACGGTTGCTGAGACACAGGGGCGTAGTGATCTGGGGTCTGGGGTATGACCCCTTCCATTGAGTTTTTTTCAATGGGCGAATGAACCACCAAATCAAAATAAAAAAAGAACAAGGGATAGTCCATCGAGCGTCGCTATAGAGGAGGGGTGTGGGGGTTCCACTCCTTTTTTTTGTGTCGGCAAAGTCGGCGTCCTGTCTGCAAAGTCGTGTTTGTTGTTAAATATTCCGCCGCGAAGTTCGCTCCATTAGTCGAAGATGGTCTGCTTTGAACAGCGCCTCCAAGATTCAGATATGATATAGTCCACTCCCCCTTTTGATTTTGCGACAGCCAGGTGACCGAAAACATTTGTTGTCCCCCTCCCCCACTCAAAAAAGTCTCGCGCTTTCAGCATTGTCCAGGTTTAATTTTTGTATGGATTATGTACACAGGAGTTGGCGGGGGAGGGGCACTTGCAATGGCGGGGGGGGGGGGGACATTCGAATGCATTACCGACGACGTCTCCACCCCATAGATATAGAATAAAAAGACTAGATCGTCAGTGCGTACAAACGCGCGTTCTGCCATGGGCGGCGCCATTTTTTAGCGCGTGGGGCAAAAGTTGCGTTACACGCACCTTTTTTTCTGTAGGTTTGTATGGAAAGACATATTTTTATGTCCGCGAAAGTAATATTTTTGACCTGTAGTAGTTATTTCTTCAACAAAATTCAAAATGGGTTATCAAGCTGCATGTTCATTTCAAAGTTTGGTCCATTTTAGTTTTCGTATTTATTTACCGTTTTAAAATGCTGGTGCGCGTTGCTTAAAAAACACTTGCATCCAGCTGTTTGAGTGTTATTTTCTTCAGCAACAAACAGTGAAACGGAACAATGATCATTTTGAACGTCTTATTTCCGTAGTCGTTGCGCTGTCCTTTAATTTAAATTCACGGCAGCTTTTAAGGGACAACACCCAGAACATTTTTTTTCTGCATTGTCCCTCTTCAGGGTATGACATACGCCGTAATCAGATGTAGTTTTGTACTGTTGGATATACTGGGGGCCGGGGATGCACGCCCCTCCCCAGCCCTTCACTAACTTATTAAAAATAAAAAAATAGAACAAATAAATTTGTGTTATTTTGCATCTGGAAATCTTCAAGAAGGTGCAAGAATCTCACAATGTTGAACAAAATGGGTACTAAAAGTAGAGCACAATGTAAATAAACTTGAGGAGTTCATTAGGTTATTCAGCTCAGAAGTGCGGAACATTACGGGAGTGTAATTTAATTTCATTCTTAAAACGGTTTTCAGGGACAATATTATTGTCATTAAAAGTCAGACATAATATAAGGCAATCCAAGTAAATTGTTCTCATCCCAAATTGTAACACAAATCTCTAAAATCATCCATTGGAACATTTCCCAATTTTCTTTAAAAATTCAAGCAGTTTTTACATTCTACGTTTTCCTTTTCATTGTTTATAAACAATGTCTTTAAACACATTTTATCAGGTAAGCTGACGTTTATTTGGAGATTTTTAGCAACGCGCACCACCATTTTGAAACGAAAAATAAATACGAGGGGAAAATGGAACAAACTTCGAGGCGACTATCCAGCTTGAAAATGCATATTGAATTTTGTTGGATACGTAATAACTACTGGTAAAAAATGTTACTTTTACGGACATAAAAATGCAAGTTTGTGCACAAACCTACGGGAATGTAGGTGCGCGTAACGCACGTTTCGCCCCACGCACTACTACTGCGCGTAGAGCGTCCATGATGGAACGGGAAAATTTGTGCACACTCTATGGCGCGTATGCACGCGCTGCCGATCTAGTCTTTTTATTCTATATTTATGCTCCACCCTCAACGAAGACGCTGAGGGTATGGGGTTCTTTAAGAATAAAAATAAGTCCTGCGTACCCTGCACCATATACGCGCAAACCAGTATACGCACACGGGATCTCGAGAGTGTTCAAAACACGGCATCTACTGTTCGTGCATGGAGCCCATGATGCCTTTCCAGATCTTGAGAGGGGCATAATTTCTTGAAGGGGCGCGGGAGGAGTCGGCTACATTCTCAGCCAAATTGTTTTGTAGCTATCATGCATCTGTGTTGCTGATAATTATTTCGAAGCCTCACATTTTGTTCTTGCTATCCCTAATTATGCTGTCATAAGATCATACAAACGCCGGGAAGTTGCATTGTTGCCGCGCTGTGGGAGGCAAGCCAAAAAGAAACCGATGCTGAAAAAAACAGGAAGACATACAGAGTTCAGGGTTGTGAGAGTACGCAATGTGAACTACAAGAAGACAGAGTTCAGGGTCTTGAGTTGAAAAGAGTTGAAGTGCAAGCACGTTCGTCACTCTGGTAGCCTGTACCTTAAGAACACGTACACGTACACTGATATCATTGGGATGTTTCTTAAAATAATGACAAGTTTTGACTTGTCATGTCGACTTCATAGTTTATCAGATTGTCACGTCAGCATGACAGTGTGCTTCATTTTGTCAGCAATGAGGACAATCTCAGAGGGTCATACCCCTTTTTAATTTGGTATGCAGTGAAAATTATAGTTTCAGTTCATTTTGTGTATAGGCTTATTTCTTATTTTTCGTGGAAAATTTTAACGAACGCCATTATTGGTTTAATTTTTTTTGGGGGGGATATTTTTTTTTCGTAAAAGAAAAACCAGCATTAATTCCTTCACAATGATTTACGTAGTAACTTGCACTTCGATGAAGACGTTCATTGTGGTTACGAAGGTGAAAAGCTACAAAAAGCTAGTAATGAAATGAAACAACCTCAGAACCGATACCTTGCAGTAGATTGTTAACGGAAATGATGAAGTACTCGGAATCTTAGAGTATTCCATAAACTTACGTTATGGGACAAAGTACCACAAAGGAAAGAAAGAAGTTGGGAAAATATCTCTAGGCCCACATGAAACAGTTATCGGGAAACCTTCCACAGTCTACTGCTCAAGTAATGAGACTTTAATAACTCGGGGAATGTCTTCATCACCAGTCATTTGTTTTTAATCAGGAAGACGTACCTGTCAGGAACCGACACGCTTCATAACCCCGTCAACGATATAACAGACCTGTCTCGAAATAATGAAATTCTCCTTTGCTGCATCCAACGGCCACAGTTTCTATCACTAGCAAGTTCACACAATTATACTGCTTAATTTGGGGTTATTAAAGGGCTAGATAAGTAAGTTCCTTTTCATCACATCATTAAATGGTACCTTATAGGGAGACAGTTTATATAGTCAATTTACATAAGGAAAACACTGCTCATTCTTTAACTACCATTGCTAGAACGAATTTATTGCAGCAAAGTGCTCAAAACGATTCCTTAGGGCGAGAATAGTATAAAAATATAACAGAGTTTGGGGAGGTGAAGTATTTAAAATTGGGGTTAGGACAGCGTTTTGTTGGTTTCTGTTTGTGCACAAGTGTATGGGAATGTAAGGCACCATTATCGGTGATAATTAACACAATAAATGACTCAATGTTAGATGCAAAGTTGATTTTGGTATACTAAAATCGCTTTGCTGTTTAGGATGACAAAACAGATTCTTTTTGTTATTGGGCATTGGAAATTACAGGTTCGTGTTGCTGATGTCATGCTTTAATAATTGCGGACAGGGAACCTGGTCAGAATTCGCTCCTCTGTAGGCCCATATATCACCGTGATGCAATTTCTGTTGTAGGGGGAGGGACCAAGCGTCATGGAATTTGGCGGCTGATGTCTTACGTGGCTGGTGTCTTAGGCAGGCGAAATTAGATGTGTTCCAGTCCAATTTCGCAACTCGTTAAATAAATCACAGAATATGCAGTCCATCTCAGTAGGTTTCAGAGATTTGGGTACAAATACGGTTCTAATTTTTCGCAGTTCGAGTATTCAATTTCGTTTGAGTGTTTACAAAGAAAGTGCGTAGTCACAATTTTCCTGCACGAAAACCCATTTCGTTTGTTGGCTATATTGACTTCGCACAGATACAAGTATTCCTTTTCAACGAGAGTACAATGGAACAAGTAGTCGACTTAATGTGGCAGCTGCACTTCGCTAAACGTCAACCGTATTGGCGGTAAGAAAATCAATTTAATTCAAAGAAATTGATAGGCCTTTCTCAATATCTTTTCCATCATCTTTTAATTTCAACAAACTGATTACAACAATTAACAAACTGGTCCATTTGATCTTCATATACAAGTCTCTATTTTATCGGCGAGTGTCCAACATTTATTTCCTTCTATCACGTTTACACTTTACATTTTTTTAAGTTCTGTTATTTTTTAAAGTTCTTGTTATGCGTTTTTCCTATCTTTTTTCACAGGTATTCAACATTTTGAAATAGTCCATCTCAGAAGGGTTCCTTTTAATTAAAAGCTTTTCTCAGTCATGTCATTTTAGACCCTGTTTTAACAATTTAACACAATTTCTTGCTAATGAACAAGTTAAGTAGTTTGCTGCCTCCTTTGTACGTATCAATGAAGATTTCAGTTTAATATGTATCCTTTGCTTCTTTGACATTTGACAATGTTAATCCCACATTCTGTTACATCTGTTTTAGATTGCTGTCTTTAAGTATATATATATAGTTCATGTACTCATGAACCAACGTACAATCAATCAGTGCTGCCATCACGCCTCATATCCTCCAGAAACACCAGTTTGCTTGGCTGATTTCATAATCATGTCTTCCCGACGCTGTGAGCACGGCACTGAAATTGCATTAGCCGCCCCATCCGCGTATTTTGTTTCCGATAGGTATTCACGTCCATTAGTCTTCATTATCGAATTAGCTGTCGTACCTACCGCCCACGCGTCCAACCGTCGTCTGTACAACGCCAAGACGGGGTACTGTGTACTGCGTAAGCACGCTGAACTCTGTACGGCGGGAACTGGTGTTACTAGAGGTAGGCGGTCTAGCGAACGGCGTGGACTTCAACACCTTACACACTTGACAGGTACCTTTCAATTTTGGTATTTCAATTGTTCTCAATTTAAATTTGTTTAGGAATAAAAGCCACAGATATGTACTGAAACATAACCGAAAACTAAAAAGCATTTTCTTTCGGATGGTGTTTGAAAATTATGTGACACAAAAGCGCATCACAACTGAGCAGAACTGCTTTGAGTGGTGGATCTCTCGTTTAAGGCAGGTACGAACATTTGAAATTACTCAGAAACCTACCTACCGATTTAACGAGAAAATCCTTGCCCAGCGTGAAGATAGGACTGGTACCAAATATCCTATGACATTATTCTGCCTGACATGGTATCATTCGGAAGAAGTGTGCTTCAAACGAAAAAAAAATGCACAAAATTTTTTCCTAGATACCTCTAAGTTAAATCGTAATATCTTTCATGATTTTCTCACACATTGTGTCTGCGTTAAATGAGTTTTATGGCGAAGCGAAGAGCAGGATTTATATTCTTTTTCCAGTAATGGAAAAACGAATAAGAGAGAGAGAGAAAAAAAAAAGGAAAGAAAAATAAAACATAGTGAGAACTGTCCTTGAGACGGATTTCGTGAGGTCCAGTCGCATATGGCAGTGCACAGTGATTAGTATTCCTGAAGCCAATTTTGTGTAATAAACATATCCATGTCGGTCGATGTTAATGTCTGTTCACTTTTTTGAGAACAATACCGTGTGAAACGTTCATGCTGCTAACTGGACGTATACAGTTGGTAAAGACACTTAAGAATCTACTTAAAATAAAGCCTACAATTTCCCCCATTTTGTATGTTAACATTATCTACCTGGATATCAAACAGTTATATGAAAAAACAAATTAGTGGATAATCCTGAGAACAATCACCCCCACCAAAAAAACCCCACCCCAAACCAAACAGGTATGCACATTTATGCGCCTTACGAGAGATGACATCACTGTTTCATGCATGTATATATAAGTGCAGATTATCTAAGATCAGATGGGTTTTAAGACATCCATATGTTATCATCTCGTCGAGGCAACCGGAGCTAAGACGTAACATCTTTACGGTACACATTTTCATTCGAAAAAACCGTGTGCTTTTCACCTGGAAAATCCAAGGCGATTCTTCCATCTAACAGGGTGGCGCACGGGGGAGGGGGGCCTCAGGGGGGCGGGGGGATTGAGCCCCCGCCAAGAGGTCGTCAATTTTTTTTTCTTGATAATTTTTTTTTAGTCCCACGATTTGACCTTGCTGATATGTATGTGTTATGTGGCCTATTTTCGACTTGTATAATAGAGGTGTAATTGGTGCCACCAACGTCAACATAGTTCCCCCCCCCCAAAAAAAATCTGTTTTCTGCGGCCAAAAATTTTGGGCAACATTTTTTGAAAACAATTAAACTTCACAAAAAAATTTCCAAAAAGAAATTGTGAGCCCCCATAAGCAACATCCTGGTTTTCGCCAATGATCTTACACACTGTTTAAATCCGCAAAAGGAAATCAGTCTTTAATTTGAGTCAATTTTTTTCTAGGAATGAAAATACAAAATGGGAATAAATATACTGACGCAAATGATTATACGTAAATGATAACGGGTGTGAAAAGGACCACACGCATCTTGGGAAAATTAGACTTTCCACTTGGTGAAAAAAGGACTCCGCTTTCCTTAAAAGAAAACCCTCTATTGCATTTTTGCTTCATTCATTTGACAGGATCCACTAAAGGCAGCACTCATTTGTGACAGTATGTTCAGGTTCGTTCCTGGCCGTCTACTTGTCATAATCTGTGTTATCATCGTCTGGGCGCAGTGCGTGCTGTACGGTGGACCAGCACTCCTCGTAGCTGCAGATACACCAGCTAACTGCTCCTTCGATGCTGTCAGTGGAAAATGGATGTTTTACATTGGCCCGGTAGGTGATCATTTCCCTTAAAATTCAGATCGAAAAAAAAACTATGCAAAATCCAATCAACTTCAGCCGTACAGTCACTCTTTTGTAACAATTTCCGCAAACATTCCCACGATGCAAGCTTAAAGTGCCTAAGGTTTCCAAAACAGAGGTTTCTTCAACTTGCATAAATGAGAGAAACCAAGTCATTATAATGTTTGTAATCATTAGTCTGTTGCTTGAAAAGATGGTCCATTCATCATGATAGTTGCTTGGCTACAGAGAGCGTATATAATAGAGATATAGGCTGTTTACTAGATGTGTTTTACTCTCCGGAAGTTCCGTAGGCCAGAAATGTGTTTGTAGACCGACTTCAGACGTTTTTAATTGCACACCTTTCTATTGCCATTTGATGATTGCAGTTTTTGGCATCCGGTGGCTCGTAAACAACAGTTAGCATCATTGGAAATACAAAACAATAACTCAGAAAGGAACAAAAAAATGACTCAATTTAAAAAAGCAACACTGAATAATCAACGGTCATTATCAACTTAAATAACACAACCCCCTTTCTTAAATGATTGTGCAATTTTGGCATAGGCTCTTGCGAGATATGCCGTTGAAATTTTTGTGGAAAGATGAAATCCTATAAAAAACGCACTCAATGTTTGCACTCAATATTGCGTCGTATATTGCGTGTTGAAATTTGGGCTTATCCGATTTACATGTACATCACTTGTGAAAGTTTCAGTTAAAAAAATTAAGTTACACCCCAAATAAATTAATGGACCCTCATACAACACGTATCTTTTTTTAACTACAGGGAGGCCAATCAAATAAGATCGACTGTTCCAAGCCATGGCACGCTGTGTCGCAGTGGAGCGCCATGCTACATTTCCCAGATGTGGCAGTCGACAAGAACGGTATTCAGCTTATTGTCAAACACAATTTCTATAGAGCTGTCAAATCTAATTTACGATACTGAGGTTGAATTCGCAATTACAATGAAGTTGGTCACCTACGAAAGACCTAAGTGCAGCTGCAAGTACACTGTTAAAGTGGTGCTTAGATTTTGAACATATTTTTGTACTATTCTTAAGGTGGAATTTGCGTCGGGGTGATGTAGATCAATATTAGGTTTTACCCTTTTTTGTACCCACTCTCTTTTCACAGATTTAGTCTAAACACATGCTTATTTTTTTTGCAAAGTATGACAGTCTGTTAGTGCAATAACTTTAAACATATTTTAAAAGCAATACTGATACAAAATATTGATACAATTTTGTAGTAAGCCTGTTGTTCGACTTCAACCCGATAAGTCATGCTCATTTACTTTTACAGTTTATACTTTACTAACAAGCTTTCATCTTAACATCCACAAATCTAAACATGTCATAAAATCAAACGTGAAAAAAATGGGTACAGTTAAGTGTTTAGCCTGTCATTCGACTTGAACCTGATATGTCATTTTTATTTACTTCCACAATTCATATTTATGGTACTAACAGGCTTTTGTCACCCGTACCTAAATATGCCACAGACATCTACAAACCTAAACATGACGCAGATTCTTTATTGTGTAAAAGTGCGTACAATAAATTATTAAGTGTTTAGAAATGTGCTGAAACTCTAAACACGATGTTAACAGTGTATGTGTTATTAATCCGTTATTACGGATTATTCAATCATTATCATGTAGACATTTTCTGCCTCCCTATAACTTCTACAACGAAATTCGTTGTCGCATTGACGATTCCTTAGGTCGATAATAGTATAATTAAAAGCTTGGGGAGGGGAGGGGAGTATTTACAATGGGGTCTGGGAAGACTTTTGTTTGTGAATATATCTATTTGAATGTCTCCCTAAGCTACAATTTTCGGTAATTTATTATGACCACATATATTTTCTCGCGTTGTAATGAGCGTTTCTATGTGTGTTGATGGCCTTTAACTCGAGTTGAATCGAGTCGAGTCATTTGCTTGTAATAAGTTGCCCGAAAATTGAAACCCGAGTCGGATTCGAGTACGGTCACTTAAACTGTTTCCCTGCAGATAGAAAGGTAAATCATAAGTTCAGTGCGTATATCCGGGGGGGGGGGGGGGGGGGGGGAGGGAGGCAACTTGCCCGCTCACCCCCCCCCCCCCCGCGGCATTTGATGGCGTCATACAAAAAATAAATAAAACATAGTATTTTAAAGAGAGTTTTAAGATGGTTCAGACGTCGATACAGTAATTTTGCCCACCCAGGGCACGCTACTGCATAAGTTAGTTTCAAACAATATAATTAAGGTAATAAAAACCTGCACAGATCTGAGTTTGTTGTGAAGAGTAGATTCTACACCCTTCAAATGACTCGGATATCGAGCAGAAATCTGCCCCTTTACACCCTTTCTTTTCGTCGATTCATGTTTCCAAAAGGCATGACGGGATTTTGGACCCTTATCTACAACCAAGCGTTTGAGGCTGTCATCCACGGCAGGAAGTTCTTCGGCTTCTTTGAGTACGAGGTGATCGACCGGAAACACGTGCTCAGCTTTTGTAACATCACCACGGGCTGGGTGCACAACAGCGATGGGCGGAACTGGGCGTGTTTCAAGGGCGAACGGGTGACGGGGCCAGGGGTGGGAGACCCCCCGCAGAGCTACACTGTGGAGGAGATTGATGAAGAGCGACTGTACAAACCCAATGATGAATTTGTAGAGAGTGAGTACCAAGAACCTGCAGATAAACCTGCATGACTAGACTATGCCGATTTCAAATTCACCATGGAAGAGTCACAATTTTATGACTGATTAAATTTGTGAGGCTGTGTCCGAAACGTGTGTCGAGAGCTTTTTCTACGTCTATTGTCAGTATGCACCCATGTTGTTGTAATTGACGTAGGACGGGTATACATCCGCTCTTAGAGAATTGATTTGGAAGCAGCCGTAATTACATGTGGTTTATTACGCATCGTTTCATAATGCTCCCCGAGTTATGTAAAAGAAATGCGGATAAACACGTACGTGTGCCACGTGCACGGTCCACGTGCAGCTTGGAACCCATAAAGTTCAAGGTGTCTCAGAAACCATGCATTGTTATTCATATGCACGTACCAAACCTAGTAAAGCTGTTCCCAGACCAATTAATTTGGTGTAAGGGTTCTAGTCATCGCAGTCAATTTTTTTCGGGCAAAGTGAGACTTAAGCAAGTTTAATTGACAAGTGATAGTCAGTCAGGTACAAAGACGCCTGTATGCTGGCCCTCTGGGACCAGCACAGATCGAATTGTTATAATACCGCGTAACGTCCTGGCCATGGTTAGTCTTATTTCATTGGTCTAGAATGATCACGTGAACATTTTGCAAAACGTCAATCGAGTGCTGTCTTTCGCTCGTACCCCGCCCTACAAACAGGACGATGGGGCGGGCTGATGAATTTACGCTCTGATTGGATAGATTTTGCGTGACATGTGACCTGCAAGTCATCATGGCCACGACCCTGCAAGGTTTTAAACGGCCGTTGAGACTGAGTCATTACTCTTTTATTCCCATTCATTAAAGTTTTTTTTTCCGTTGATAAGCGTAATAATGTAGGAAAATCTGTAAAACTTTTCTGTTTTGTAAATGTTCAATTCCCGTCACTTGCTCAGGCTCCGTTTCGAATTCACGAAGGGTCATATTGCATATTCTGCGACGCTCAAAATGTGCCCACATGGTCCGCAATGAAAAAGAAATCACATCCGGTATGGAATGTGTGCATTTCTATGAGAAAGTTTTCGGATAGCATTTGCGCGCATTGGCTAAAAAGCGGTCTTAAACAGCTGCAGCCAAATGTCTTTTTATATAGGTCATGATAAGTTACCCGAATACCATCCCAACTTCCTTCACAAGATTGTGTTAAGCTCATCAGCCTGTCCCAGCGCCCTGTTTGCCAGGGCGCGTATTTTTTTTCCTAGGAGGGTTAGGGGCAATGTCATGAATAATTCAGTTTTTCCTTTGAATCATTGCAAGACTTAGGTTCTCGTTCTATTTTCCCCTTAATTTAAAATTATCTCAGTGATAAATTTGGAGAAGAAAAATAGCTAATGAAAATGAGCAGCGACGACGTGGATTCGAACCAGGGATCTTTGTATCCATAGCTCATCTCGCTCATGATCCACTAGGCTACTGTGTGGTAGCTCGACAACAACCGTTCTTTAAAATGCTTTAATGTATTGTAACTAGTTGAGTAACTAACAACAATGCTGTTGATGTCATTGTCCGTTCTCATGGATAAACATGAATTATTCATGACATTGCCCCTAAGCCCCTAACCCTCCTAGGAATAAAAATTACGCTGCCAGGGCGGGGGCACGAGCGAAGTACTATCCAGCACATCATTAATTTATTTATGCAGAAATAAACAAGCACCAGCCCAGCTGGACAGCCAAGCACTACAGTCGCTATGACAACATGACAATGGGTGATATGCAACGTCGGGCAGGCGGTAAGAAATGGAAAAACGCCTACCCACCACCAACCATCCCAGACAAAATTACTCAAATTGGTAAGTGATAAACATATAATGCTGTAAATTTGAAAAGCGGGCGAACCGGGGGAGGGGGGGGGGGGGCGTCTGGAGGCGCTGGGGACTGGTATGGTCACCATATGACACTAGGTGGCGCTGTTCATAACGCAGTCATGAATATTTATTGTACATAATGTACAGACGCGCCTCTTTGCATCCATTACTGCGTTTTTTTTTACTGTAAAGTTTAAAGGTAATACACAATATTTGCAAGTATAAAACAAACTACCAAATTATCAAAAAATGCCTTTGACTGTAAGTGAATTATAGTCTCAAGCATCCTTTGAAATCATGACACCTCGTATGATGTCATTTTCACGGCTGACCAAAAAAAAGACGGACAATTTTTTTTTCAATGCCCCCATTTCACAAAATGTAGTAAGTCCCACATTTTGTTTGCAATCAGTTACATATCAGTGAATAGGTGCAAGCCAGCTACTCTGGTTCCCTGACCTGACAATTCCTGGACGTCTATAAATTGTCCTGTTTCGTCTGAAGTAGAGTCAGGGAACCAGTCTATAAGAACAGCATTTTCTTGTTTTTTTTTTCAACATCCAAGAACACAGAACTTTAAACAAGTCTCTGTAGCAATATTTGCTATAAAATACTAACCCCTAATCCATCCATTTCTGATAATTACAGCAAAAGCAAATGTTGTATATTACCTTTTAATGTTTTTCTTCAGTGTCTTGGACCGTCTTAGCACAAAATTATATTGGGAATGACCTGATGACCTTTCCCACCTGGTCAAGGGGGGGGGGGGGAGTATATATCTCCCATCCCCCTTCTCTGAATATATATGCCTGTGATAACACGTATACGTATACTACGTGGGGGCAACACATGAAAGATTTCCTTTCTGCATGTCCCTAAAATTATTACACCACAAAGTGAAGGTTCAATTGTTGAGCCAAGTTTTATTTGCCGGCCCCGGAGTTGTCTAGCAGTTTCATCCAACTAATCCCAAATAATTTCCAGTTTCTGACTTTGTGCCAAATTAGTCTCCTTAGGTCATGGCTAAATTCAAGGCCTGCTGCAGCTTAAGACTCTTCGGATAGAGTACAAAAGTTTCGCACATGTGTTTTACTTGTAGCGTTATGCATCAGTGCATGTTGGATTGGTAGCACAGAAAGACATGTAACTTCAAGGTGATGATATGTCACATTGCATCAAGTTCAATCCGAAATTAAATTCTTTCTCAAGATGAACGTACCATGCATATTGCGCAGGGTATTGCGGCAGCCATGCATGAAGCATCTTAAGCAGATGTAGACAGTCTACTGGACAGCAATGAAAGAACACTTTTTTTTTCGTTTTCTTGGTGTTATAACAAAGCCTTCTACATTCCATAGGATAAATTTGGTATTTTATGTTGACATGTACAGAAAAATCATATATTAGGTCTTTCCATTCCCGAGAGGACACAATCCTATAACCACAGATACATTTTGGGACAATTTAATGGGGTAACAACAGGTAATACATAAGTTGCGCTAAGGGGGGGGGGGGGGGGGGTATCTCGACTATCACCCCACTGTCACTAGCGCAGGCGTGCATGGAGATTTCGATTGTGCTGCTACCAATTATTCAGAATATTCTGTTGCCGGGGTATAAAGCGTGTTCTTGGTATACTAACATTGCTGAAATTAAAAGTCAAGGTTTCACTTAACAGGGACTTTTCTTCACATTTAAAGATGTCTTGAGTTGACCGAGACGAAATCTGAATCAAGGGAAAGCAGTGTTAGTGGTGCGGCAATATGCCAAAGGATTTTTGTTCAAGTCTAGGTCTTCATTCAATGAAAATAATGATCAGATGTGGGAACAATTCATATCTGACCTCTGGTGACCTTTGAGAGGTCAGTAACCTTTGTTAACCTGTTTAAAGCTATTTGTAAGATTTGTTCTGGAAACCTCATGTTTTTCATGATTCATGTTTAAATGAAAGGTGTTCGTGTTATGAAGAAAAGTTTCATATGTAGGCCATTTCATATTCAACCTCTGGTGACCTTACGAGAGGTCATGACCTTTGTAAAACGATAGCCTATCTGTGGATATTCATATTAATTTTTCATGGCCCAAGATTACAGAATGGTTTAGCGTATTTTGAACAGGCGGACATTATACCAGTATATATATATATATTTTTTTGGGAGGGGGTGTCACAGCAGGGGGGGGGGGGTTCGACTTATTTTTTAGGAATTTGTATGAGAATTTTTTTTTTGGACAGCTGGGGGGGTGTTGACCCCCCCCCCCCCCTCTGGATCCGCGCCTGTTGAGATCAGAGGTCATACAAAAACATTCTTTGGGGTCTTTATGACTTCATGACATGCTGTAGAATACTTGCTTATTAAAATACACTCCTTCTGGACTTATTAGACGTCGGTCATGAAAAAGTGGCATTTTGAAGATTAAACATGATAAAATAACGGCAATCAGAGAATACAAAGTTCATTGACCTCGCAAAGGTCATCAAAAGTGAAATATGAAAAGTCTACATATCTGAAAATTCATATCATGGCAAGAATACCCTACAGTTAGATATGGGTAATAAAAAAGTATCGTTTTGAATAGTTAATCATGTTATCTATAAATAGGATACGCAAAGTTCATTGACCCCTTGAAGGCCATCAGAGGTCAGATATGAAATTCCCTACATATGAAATTATGTCATAGCATAAGCCACTTTACATTATGACTTGGATCTTGAAGAAGTTCGGGTTTAAAGGGTAAGTCGTATAAATAACTATAAATTGTGTTAGTGCAGTTAATACAAAGGTGATTGACCTCTGGAAGGTCATTAGAGGCAATTGTGAAATTTCCCGCATTTAGTCGTTATTGACATTGTATAAAGACTATACAAAGACTTAGGTCATAGGAAAGTGATATTTTTAAGAATAATTTGTCAATGTATGCAGACCTCACATGCCATGTCTCATGCTTTTATGACATAATGCACAATTCTGTCCCTATGCCGCACCACTATGTGGCTATACTCAACGTGAAAGCGAAAAGAGCGTGAGTGTTAGACGCATGCTAAGTTTTCGAACTACGAATTCGCAAGACTTGAACATATTCAACTCTGACTCATTTCGCTGCGAATGTTCGTTAACGTCGAATGAACCGTATGAACCAGCCTACTTACTTGTTGCTTAACATTTTGCACCACCTTTTGTTGACAGAGAGCGCCAGTCTGCCGGACCAATTTGACTGGCGCGATGTGGGCGGTGTCACCTTCGTTCCCGACGTACGAGACCAGGGCATCTGTGGCTCGTGCTATGCCTTCGCCTCCACCGCACTGCAGGAGTCTAGGTACCGGGTCCTGACTAATAACTCCATTCGTCTGGTGCTGTCCCCGCAGGAGATTGTAAGCTGCTCCGAGTATGCGCAGAAGTGTGACGGCGGGTTTCCTTACCTGATTGCGGGTAAGTTCAAGCTGTCCCCGTACCAACCCCTGTTTGGCGACCTCTGGTATTTTTAAAAAAGCTTTCGTGGACAGATTGTCTTTAACCAGTGACCCGACACCAGGACTTCCGCATGCGCACGACATTGACCCATAAACAGGTTGTGGGTTCGAGTCCAGCCTGGGGTTGTGCATGGTGCGTGTGTCCTTGGGAAGAACACTTCGTCACTCATTGCTTCTCACAATCTAGTCCGGACACCAGTCCTTACCTCATAACACACGTGAACATGAGGACAGGCAACAACCTATGCTTCTGATTTCTTAATGGTTGTTATGTGCGTCTTGGCTGTTTCGCCGTTCCTTTAGTTTGATTGGCCTACTTCTCCTGCACACTCATGCGTCACGCTTAACGCAGCACCCTATTAGTATGCGCGTATATATTTAAATTTGGTTGACCCCTACTTCATAGGTCAATCTGACAATCCACGCGCTGGCCGTTATCAGACTTTAAATGGCCCGTAATTTTGAGACTGTGTTCAGACTACTCCCAACCTAGGAGTAAATGGGTACCTGTATGGGCAAAGATGGTTATTGTTTTTGATTTTCGCTGCTTTGCTGCTAAGCTGCTTTGCGCCCAAGGCTATATTATATACTCGATAAGGAGTTGAGGCTGTCTTTGGAATGTTTCACTGGCCCAATGAGCAGGGGCAATGACGATGTAGTTCCTTGAGTACCAATAAGTGATACGTGCACATTATAAGAAACAAACATTACTAAAAACCTCTGCAAATCGAGATGCACATGAATTTATTGTATCGATCCCGTAATTGTCATCACACTTTCAAACAGGTGAACTTTTTTTTTGTTAATAGTATTCGTTGGTTGTTGCAAAGAATTTTAACATGTAATAAACCTCTGCAAATCGGTAACTCTGGCTTCGTTCAAGTCAATATTTAATTTTTTTTTTCATTAAATGTCTCAATTTAGTGAATCCGGATCAAATCACATTCTCGGGAAACAACAGTTGGCAAAAACAAAAAAAAGATTATGAACCGTTAATTAACACGATAAACGTTTGGTACTAATACACAAACACCCCACTATTCCCTATTTGTGCTTGCCAAATAACAATGTAAAGACACTTCAAAATACAGGTATAGGAGTTTTATAATCTGTTCAAATCCGCTTAGGGAAGTACGGCCAGGATTTCGGCCTTGTGGACGATTCCTGTTTCCCGTACACCGAATACAACGAGCCATGTCGTCCCGTGACCTGCCGACGGTTCCGAACCTCTGACTACCACTACATCGGGGGGTTCTACGGTGCCTGTAATGAGGACCTCATGAAGATTGAACTGCTACGCAATGGACCGGTGGCTGTCAGCTTCGAAGTCTATGACGACTTCCTCTTCTACACGTAAGTCTGGGCGGGTGTAATGGGCCTTATTCTCGAGTAGGCCATATTGACTTGAAGGTAAGGTAAAATCTTACTTTTTGAAATTTGCGAAGAGAAATGAAAGCAACTTAATATATAATAAGTTCCAGTCTGCATCAATGAATAATTTCAAATTTGCACGTGTGCGCAGTGAATTTGTCCACGTGACCTGTTTGCACGTGCGCACTGGTTCTCGCAGGGGCTGTTCAAAGAAACAGTTATGTCATGTAAAAGGTCGAACGCATGCATGTCTGAAAACATGACTAAGACACTACTAATGATGAACAAATCCAAGTGTTGTATAATACAGATTATTAGACAAAGGTGAAAACCCTTTAGATAATTATGCGTCACAATCACGTCAACGATTCACGTTCCTTTGGCTGCATTTCAAAAGCCCTCAGGGCATGACAGACATTGAAATGTAATACGTAATTCTATCGAGTCACCTGGTTGTGTACGTGTTTCATTGTGAGCATATAGGCCTACGTGAGCAAACTGACTTGGCAGCAATTCACAATACGAACATGTCTTTTGAAACCAAAAGTTAGAGACTACGATTATTGCTTTAAAAAGTCGGATTCTTTTCTTGATAGTTCTGGAACATAATTTAATGGAACACGTGTGATCGAATACCCCCACCCCCTAAAAAATGAGTCAATATATCTTAGTAAAACTAGAAATTATATTTCCTGAACTAACACATTGTATAAACTGCTATAGTGGTGTGCTCTGTAATATATCAAGTAGGCCACCCTACGTAAAATTAATTACTACACCTCATCAATATTCGTGATCAATTTGGAACGCGTCAATGGCCGATTCCGCCGCGCGTCCGGGAAGTTAATGATACGCGCCCAGGTGACGGTCATGATCATCCCGGTGAGTATCCAGCTAGTTGCCCTGCCGATTTTTTTTTTTTGGTAGCACCAAAAACTCCCCTCTGGAACCCGCCTTGTAGACATGTAGTCTGTGGCGTGTAATACATGTATTTACGGAACCAGTCTGTTGTTGTAGTCCTTGTAACTACCGCAGTGAAGAAACACTACAGAGTGTTGCCACAGAATGTTTCATTGACTGACCAAGAACTTGAATATCTTGTGCTGAATAAAGATGCAAAATCAACGAAGGCCAGTATCGACAAGCAGTGAGGCTACTCAAAAGACATTGAGGCTACTAAATATTTATGAGGTGTAGTAAACCAAATACATCATGGCTTATTTCTGGAAAATAGTTGGAATTACTGGTCCCTCGGTGTAGGTCAGCTTGACTGCCTCCCACCGCTTCGCGTCGGGAGTTAGTCGAGCTAACCCACACCGAGGGACCAGTAATTCCCACTACTTCCCCTCAAACCGTACTACCAATATAATATGGTTTACTGAATGTGCCAAATTGTACACAGAGTAGGCAGACTCAATGCAAAAGTGTGCATCGCTGGTCTCTTTCTCAGGGGAGGCATTTACCATCACACGCAGCTGACGGACCGGTTCAACCCCTGGAAGACTACCAATCACGTAGTACTGGTGGTGGGCTATGGCTATGCTGGGGACGATCCCGACACAGGGGAGAAGTTCTGGATCGTGCAGAACACGTGGGGTGATGCCTGGGGAGAACAAGGCTACTTCCGGATCCGGAGGGGTACAAATGAGGTTAATATTGAAAGCATGGCTGTGGCCACATTGCCTCGTCCGTAAAGGAAAATAGACTCCCGTGGATTGAGAATGGCTATGGGATCTACTTTAAAATAACCAATCGAATGACCATAAGAGTAATATTGTAAGCTGAGTTTTACCGCACTTATATTACCATAAAAAGCAATTTCGGACAATCGCACTTCCCTTGAAATCTCCCACGCATGCGCATTCCGCCAATAATTAAAAACAGAAAGAAGTAAAGGTCATTGCCATAACTGTACACGTAAATCTGGCTGTTATTTGCGTCTATATTGTTAACAATAGATAAAAACTATTTACAATCACAAAATGTTATCAGTTACATTCTATGTACCATTTTTGCTCGTCTAACTGCCAAATCCATGGGCGTTGGTAACCTCGCATTTCTTTGAGCTCTCATTGGAAACTGTTGTCACGTGACCTGGGATCACGTGAGCAAGACGCGTGCGCACTTACTTGTATAGATCATGACGCTGAGGTTCAAACATTTCTTTGCGTTTCCATTTCGCCCTTGGTAGTACGTAGTCTGGTTCCAAGACCTAAAGATTTTGACTGTGGCTGACGAATCTAAAGTCAGGTAGGCGTCAATATCACATGACCAAACAGTCAGGATTCCTTACATTTCCCGAAAATGCCCAAACTTTCCCGAGCACGTTTTGCACTCGGTATGTTCGCTAAAACACTGGTGTTTTCTGGCTAAAGGTAAGTTGTATATACACACACCAAAAAGGACCTGCCCAAGTATGTTAATGCCAGCCTAGAGTATGCACTCTGACGAGAGCATAGCTTTGTGAATGCGACGGTTAACTTTAACGTACGATCTTCGGGAGAGACGTCAGGGAATCGTCAGGTCAGGGAACCAGGCTAGGAAAATAGAAAGGTTCGGCAAACGCGAAAAATGCACACATATCCGTATAAGTATCCGTATGACTTCACACGTATACGCTGCACGTGTCGGGAATGCAAACTTTCGGCAGTCGGCATCGCGCATCCACGTACACGTATTATTTAGGGCCTACTTATTTTTATGAATTCATTTTTTTATTTTGTTAAATTACTTCTCTCAGAAGTAACTAGAAAGAATTTTCCTCTTCTGATTAGAAATTACAATAATGTATCATACGGGCCTAATAATAGATCTGTTTCTGAAACAAGTGACCTACATTTAAAATTAAGAGAATTTCTGATGACCCTATAACATTTATACAAACAAACAAGGCTCAGTCACGGTAACGCGCGCATGAAATGCTACGCGAAACAAACTCTTTTTTTGGACGTTTGTCACGCTACCAAAGACAGTATATGGGAAAAAGAAAGAAAACTCAAGAGAAACTTTCAATTAAATTGAACAAAATTTAATTCAGAAAATAAATCAAACAAAAAAGACAAAACAATTAGTCGTATATAGTCCTACTATCAACTGATAATCACATCAACACTGTTCTCGACGAATATTACTCATAGGAAACACTTTCAGTAACATCAAATGATATATATTAATCGGTCAACATCCAATTAGTCAAATATTGATTACATAATATTCAAAATGTTTGACTATGTCTGATTCTCGCTCAGATGCTCTCAGGCAACAATTTCATTACAATACCGCAAAGCCAGGCTATATTGCCATGCACAAAAAATAAAATGATGGGCCCGCCAGTGGTGTTTTTATTTGCAGCACACATCGTCAATGACTTATGATTATTCAGCTAGTTCGATGTTTATTCATAACTTATAACAATGACGTCACACCATTGCTATAACCAGATCGGGCATGTACATGTACATTAAAGCATTTCAAAGAACGGCTTTCGTCGAGCTGCCACAGTGGCCTAATGGATAGTGGAGTGAACTGAATCGCAAGATCTTTGGTTCGAGCCCATGGCCATTTTCATCAAATAGTTTTGTTGGTTGGGATAAGTTTATTTGAAGGGAAAACACTACGACAATTTAAGTGTCTTCCATCCACACAGCGTGATAAATATTCATGTTAGGGTACGTGATGTGATTGGTTAAAGTACGATGTGCTGCAGAAACAAATACGCGGCCCGCAACTATTAACATGACCATGCACTTGATGTCTCTGCGAAAACTGGTGTACCTCTAGCGCTGTGACGTCCTACTAGTCCCTGCTGTCTGTGATCGGTGTCCTCTGGAGTGGTCACGTACTGGTTGCACAACTCTAGGGAGCTGTCAACTGGTGCGGCGTCAACTCCACCTCGTTCCTCCACCTCGAGCCCGATATATGAGCGGTGTCTTGGTGGGCTCTAAACCCTCCGTTCGTCTATGCTACCCGTTGACTACGGCCAAAACCTGACTTTTGAGCCATCTGAAAAATATTCAGAGATATATTCCCTGCATACTACTGGCTCGAAACAACGTTCGCAATAATCAATTCCATGCCGTGTTATAAATTACCAAGGAAGTTGATCTATCTAGAGTACGTTGCACATAACACCACGCTGACCTCAAGCTTGCATTTGATTAACGCACGATATGCATAAGCCAGACAACTTTCATGACTCAACATACTAAGAAAATCCACATATTTTCCGCAACATTCACCCTAAAAATTACTCCCAAAGCAATGTGAGATGTATCATGCGTCATGTCATTAAAAGTTAGAGGTTATTAGAGACATCATTTCGGCACAGGTTTGGCGTAAATCGAGATATTCATACGTATCGCTCTCGTATAAGATGGCTTTCACACGTGCTTTTCGTATCAATTTTCCCGCATCACGTACAAGATGTACGGCATAGCACCAAACAAAAGAGAAATACGGATACGTGATAGGGGCTTGAATTTTGAGCTTGCTGAACCTCTCTATTTTTGTACATGTATATACTTATGATACCCGTGTTAATGTTATTCATGTCCGTGTTACGAATTATCTTGTAAATAGAATACTAAAATTGTTAATTTTGACATATTACCTTCACCCTTTTTCTTATATATTATAATACCCTCCAATGTATAAATTAATCTTGGTATCTAAATTGCTGACCGAGAGAAGAGTTTGTTGGATTGCACAGGGTACAACACAAATTGGGTTCTAAACGTCATATTGTATGTCTTTCTTTGTTTAAACGATTGTTTTTTTTGTACTTGTATTGTGACTTCTCGGTTGGATTTTTTATGAATGAAGAAAGTATTTTCGTGGTTCACTTTAGATAACACCCTGTTTTGTTAATTATATGTTTTTCCCGGCTAATTTCCTAAAATGTTCATTCACTTCTGAAAATCGGCCATTCATTTTAGTCTGAATTTGAGAATCGCTCTGAACACGCGTTCCATTTTCGCTACCAGAGCATTCGATTCCATTTCAGTTCAATCAATTAAGCGATTGACGGAGCACCACCTTTCGTTTACGTCTATTCAGATTTGTTTACAAGATTTCTTTTTTGCTTTAAGAGGGCGATTTCAAATAATCACCATTCTATTTCACATCAGCACCAGATACAATTAGAAGTTTCTTTTTTATTAACCGTCAATCAAATTAGCTGTACCTGAAATCAAATTAGAAAAGGAATGCTTGCGTAAATGAATGCACAGGTAACGTAATTCGCCGTCTGTTTGTCAAAACCGAATGCACGGACAATGAAAACAATTGAACTTTCGTTGAATTGAAATGGATAAAAGACGTGCATTCAAATTCAGACGAAAACGAATGCCCGAATTTTAGAAGTGAATGAAAATTTCAGGAAATTGGCCGGGAAAACCTATACTTTACGCACAGTGAATGCTTGATCATTACATAATAATTAGTACTGATGATACTCAACATTTTTCTCCATTATATGCCTTGCTATCGATGTTTGTTTACCATAAATGCGAAAGTGTTAAACAAAGAAGAACACACCCAAACGAGTGAAATATCGCTTAGTGTTATATTACATTCCATGTTTAACATAATCCATCTACGTCATGACATCAAATCACAGTTACCACACCGTATTCTCTAAATCATTTATAAAATAGGTGGCGAGTTCTCAACGGGCGGTGATAATTATATCAAAACACTGCCTAGTGGTCACCCAAACTAGTTATTACAATTTTTACTTTTACATTGGCAGAGTCGTTTGTGGTTTGGAAACTTTTTCCCCAACAATCTATGTCTTCATGTTGATTCGAATGACCATATTCATGAGAACAGCAGTGATGCTGTACCAGACAACGTCTTCAATTTTGCGTCAAACACTTCTCACGTGGGATTTCCGGAGTCCTGCTCGATTAGGCAGGCGTTGTGTCTTGTTGCCACACCAAACTCCATGCTTTTTTTTTTTCGAGCTATACAGTATGCATGGTCTCACGTCTGACGCACATCGCTTACGTAACGCCAAATCCGATTCGAACGCAACCCGTTGCTTAACGACTGAGAAAAAATAAATTACATGTACAACATTATTAAAGGGAATATACATCATTTGCTTTTGCTGTAATTTTCAGAAATGGATGGAATTGGGGGGTTGAAAATATATAGCAAATATAGTTACACTGACTTTTTTGAGATTTTGGGTTCGAAAATGCTATAAAAACCAAGAAAAACAATCATTTTCCTGTAGTCTGGTTCCCTGACTCCATTTAAGAAGAAACAGAGCAGTTTACATATATTGGGGAATTGTAAGGTCAGGGAACCAGTCTAGCTGGCTTGTACCCGTTCATAGGTGTGTAATCGTATGGTCAACTGGGGCCAGTATTTGAAAAAAAGCCAGTTTTTTCCAACGCTGATCGGCCGATCAGTGTTGGAAATTGATACAAAAAAACACTTTTCTTGAAAATGACAGTATACCAGGTGCCATGATTTTACAGGATGCTTTACACTGTCATTCACTAACAGTCCAGCAAGGTATTTCAAAATGATTTGATAGTTTTATTTTTTGATGTTTGCAAATGTTGTATTTTCCCTTTAATTGGAGTTTGCGAGTTCTGCACGGGTAGAGTCACCGATTTCGTGTAAGTGTTCTTGGCGATAGGGAAAACACTTAATGATCTCCCTCCCACGAAGGAACTCAAGACACTGATTTCACTGATGTTCTCAGATAACGTAAATGAGGGCCTTCAAAAGGGAGCAAACTTAAGACTCGACACTAATGAACACAAAGACACGCCCACTAGCAACTGCGTAGGCGAGTAGCGCGTTTAGTATTAACTCGAGTTTTTTTCCGATGCAGTTCCAGAAGTAAGCCTGGCAGCAAATAAGAAGTCATCTTTGTTACGTGCTCGAACAATATCAGATTTCCGATTGGCAAGTGAAAGCCACTGGTAAATTCCTTGATGTCAGGCAGGGAATGTTTTACCATGCCACTTCTAACGGACCCACTTGTTCAGCAGTTCAGAGGCCTCAGCACCACTGATGGGTATCATCACAGTAAGCAGCGAAGTAAAGGGAACGGGCTGGCCTTATCTTACCGCTCCAATCAACAGACGTCCGGCGTGCACCCGTTACCACCGGCTACTGATCTGGCAGATGGGCAAGAGTCCGGTAAGGAGTCGGATTGGTTCGTTCAACGTTACATCGATAGTCTACCCGATGTACCTCACGACCAATCCACACGATCACTGACACAGAGGGGTGCCAATCATCCTATCTCCGCTACCGACTCTGTAATAACGAGCCCCCAGCATGACGGTGAAGAAAACACGTCCAGGCGACGCGATCGGCAAGCCCGCCGTCCACCCCGGTCCCCTCCGCTGGAGCCGGCCAACCCCAAGAAGATTTTGAGGTCGTGCAGGAATCCACCGCACGGTTCGAGCTCGTCGAGCGAACTTCCATTCTTGCATGACGGACCATCCAACATGTATGAGACTCAGTTGCGTAGGTTCTTTAGGAACGACCAAGAGCTGAACGAGGACAACACAGCTAGTAGAACTCTCGTCAACTCCCTGTCACAGTACATTCCCAGTTCATCAATCATACTACCACCACTGACTACCAGCGGACGGTCCGAGAACGGTTCACACTTCTTACCTCCCATCTCCAAGACTGGCTCCCTATTTTCTCAGCAGTCGGTAGACAACACGGCACAAAGGCAGATGGATTCAAAAATGATTCCAGATACCAATAAGAATAAGAATCCATCAACAGATGCCAACCTACCAGCCATCTCAGTTTCCTCTACAGATAATTACATAAAGGACAAAGAAGAGAAACTCTATTGTTTATTCAGTTTAGAAAACCCTAACTCGACTGTCGACGACTTGATTATCTCCCAAGTAGAGTACTCGACAGAAAGCCCCGTCGATGATTCCAACCACAAAATGTCTAGTAGTGAGACCTCAGCCCCGGCGGCGGCGGCCAGCAAGAAGCGTGTGACGTGGTCCAAGAGCTTACCGCGCCGTGCTGGCTACGCCACATGCAGCTTCCATCCCTCGGACTTTGCCACTCCAGCCCCGCGTCTGACCAAACTGGACATTGGTATCGGCCGAGAACGACACCTCAAAAGACGGAGGGCATGTTGCCTGAGGAACGATCCAGCATTGGGACTCGTGCACCTCGTCATGTCCAACCAGAATCAACCTTCATCACCTTCCAATAATAGAGCCAGCATTTCAATTTCCATCTTCAACACATCGGAACGAAAATAAATCTCACTCCTGCATTCTTCTTCTCTCAATTACAAGTTGTGGTCACTTCTCAAACTACCATTATGCACTAATTGGGAGGGCTGCGGTAAGGAGTCGTTTCTAATCTAAA